TTATACCGCAACGCCTCAGTCCTGAAGCCGAAACAGCAAGAAAAAATGATGATTCTTACCTAGACCCTCCAATAGAGTACTTGTTTGGTAGTCCTAATAAGAGTCCTACCCCAAAAAACCATACCAAACCTAAAAATGAACTACCTTGGAGGGGCCAGGTAAACCCCTAAATCCCTAAATCCCTAAATCCCTAATCCCCTAAACCCTAAACCCTAAACCCCTAAACCCTAAACCCTAAACCCTATTCCTTTGGCCCTGGTAAAAAAAGTCCAGGCGTCACTCATTGGACCAACTCTCCAGTCAGTTGAAGGTGGGAAATATTGAAAAGGTGTAGGGTTTAGGGATTTAGGGTTTAGGGATTTAGGGGTTTAGGGTTTAGGGTTTAGGGTTCAGGGTTTGGGGTATTCAAAAGGTGTAGGGTTTAGGGGCTGGTGTAGGGTTTAGGGCTTAGTAAGGGCTCAGGGTCCAGGGGGGGTTTCTTTGGATTTAGGTTTTCAGCTTTTGGCGTTTGGGTCAAGGAGGTGTAGAGGCTGAGCTTGCTGAGCATCATGTTTGAGGGGTTAGGGTTTGGGGTTTAGGGCGTAAAAAAGTCTGGGATCAAGGGATAGTGAGGGCGGTGACGGTAGCAGATTGGCAGTGGGAGGCCTACAAGGATAGTCAAGGCTTTAATGTTTAGGGTTTAGGGCTTTGAGAGATTAACATGGACCCCAAATGCTCCGTTTCAAGACTCCTGTGTTGTTAATAGTCGGGGCTTACATGAGCTATAGTCTTTAGTCTAAACTCCCAGGATGCCCTTTACTAACCCCTACAACACTCCTCTATACAATCCCCTATATAATATCAGCCCCCTTTAAGGGGTTTAGACGTCTCGGTTTGCATTAGGGACTTGAGACCATAGGTGTAGATAAAACACATATACGCACACATATAACATGTAGATTTACATATGTATGCACATGCATAGGGACCAAAACCGAGATAACACAGTCTACATCAACGGAGCCCCCTTTTGGGCCTCAATGGATCCTGAACCCTATTGGGGTCTACGTAACTCTCGATTGAAGAAGCCCAACACCCAAAAAACTTAACCCTTGAACCCTCTTACGTTAGGGTCTAGGATGTATAGTCCCTCTTAAGTAGATAGAAAATGGGGTATATGGGGATCTTGTTATAATATACCGAAAGCCATATTCTCTCTACTTAAGGGGGACTATAGGTAAGTCCTGAGCCCTAAACGCCAAGCCCTGAATCTGAAGAAGTCACTTCTTTGCCTCAGGGGCACCTCATCGACTTTATGGTCACCTTTGGGAAGAGCCTCGGCTTGCACCCCCTCAACCCTGAACCCTAA